ACACGTGCGTTCAATGGGCCAAAAGTTAGTCATGTTTTTAGATGACGGTATGGGCGGACATAATGATTTAAGCGTTGCAAAATCTTTTAGTATTTACGTACATGAGTTGTTACTTAAACTTGGTTTTTTGGTAGCAGAAGAAAAGTGCAATTGGATTCCAGCACAAACTTCAGTTTGGCTCGGTTATTGCTGGGAAATGTTAACAGGCACACTGCATGCCACCGATGAAAGAATCTGTAGGGTAGAAAGCACGATCGATTCTTTGTTTTTTCAAACAAATAAAGATAAGTCAAATGTAGTTTTAGCTCGTTTTCTAGCTTCCGTAATTGGTCAAATCGTGTCTTTTCAAAATGCACTAGGAAAGATAGTATTTTTCAAAACAAGGTGTCTTTATCGCTGTTTAGAATCTAGATTAAATTGGGGTTCATGTGTTTTTGTTGACAAAAACGCTCAAAGTGAATTGCGCTTTTGGAGGAAAAATGTAAGAATTTTGAATGAAAAGGGGAAAGAAATAAATACAGAATTAACATGTGATTTTGAGTGTTTTTCTGATGCCTCGTCTACTGGGTACGGAGGCTATGTAGCCCTTTGTGCGGGCGCCTTAATTGAAGGCAGTGAGGTGCTGGGTAATTGGAGTGACATAGAAGTTGCACAAAGCTCCACATGGAGAGAAATTCAGTCAGTAGAAAGGGTTATGAAAAGTAACGCAAAACTTTTAAAAGAAAAGAATGTCAAAGTTTATTGTGATAATAAGAATGTAGTTTCAATTTTACAGAAAGGTAGCAGGAAACAAAATTTGCATGAAGTTTCAGAAAACGTTCGGTCTTTTTGTGACAAAAATAACATATGTCTTTTTTCAGAATGGATACCCCGAGAAAATAATTTTGTAGCAGACGAGTTTAGTCGTATGTATGACAATGATGACTGGAGCATTCAAACATGGGTTTTTTCCATGTTAGATAAAGTTTGGGGTCCACATACTGTGGATAGATTTTCGTCAAATCATAATGCTCATTGTCAGCGTTTTAATTGTAGGTGGTGGTGTCCGGGTTGTGAGGCAGTCGATGCTTTTGTGCAAATTTGGAAAGAAGATAAAAATTGGTTAGTGCCGCCACCTAGATTGGTCGGCAGAGTTTTAGACAAAATGTTAAATGAGCAGGCATCTGGTACTTTAATAGTCCCATTGTGGAAGTCAGCCTCGTTTTGGCCAAAATTGTGTAATGACGATGGTAGTTTCAAAAATTGTATAGCAGAATTTAAAATGCTACCAAAGAAAGATATTATTTCAGTTGGTTTTGGTAATAATGGTATTTTTGGGAAAAATCCTTTGTCTGTTCAGATGCTTGCTCTTAAGATACGGCATTAAACAGTTTTATAGTTTTCAGATTGGAGGTGAAAAGGAATGTCAGCATGATATACTTATTTTATAGTGTAAAAATATTACAACATAAACATAACATATTTTATAATCATTTTTCAGGCATAGGATTGAAACGCAACATAACAGAACAGCTACAAGAGGCCGGTTGTTACGACCAAAGTATGGTTGACAGTATGTGCCATCGTTTACTTGACTCAAAGAGTAAAAACACTAATAAGAAATACAGCAACGCATTTAACAGATGGAGGGTATATTGTTCTAGAAAGGGTTATTTATCTTTACCCGCGCGTCCTATTTTGGTTGCACAATATTTAACTGAACTTTTAGATACTGGAAGTTCGTATCATACCGTGTCTACAATTTTTTACGGAATAAAATGGGCACATGAGTTAAACGGTTTAGAAGATCCAACAAAAAACTCATTCGTGAAAAATTTATTAGAATCATCCAAGCGTACAGCAAAGACACCTACACAAAAGAAAGATCCAGTGTCAACAGAACTCATTGTAGAACTTTGTGATAAATACAAAATGTCAGTTGATTTGTGTATAATTCGAAATTTATGTATGATTACATTGGCTTTTTCAGGTTTTTTGCGTTTTGATGAGCTCAGTAATCTAAAATGCTCAGACATTATTTTTAAAGATAGCTATATAAAAATTATTTTAAGAAAGAGCAAAACAGATCAATATAGATTTGGTAATGAAGTTTTAATTAGTAAAGGTATTACTTCAGCATGTCCGGTTAGAATGTTACAGAGGTATATAAGTTTAGGTGACATAGATGTTTCTTCTGATATGTTTTTGTTTAAGCCTGCATTTAAATCTAAGTCCGGTTTAAATCTGATTCATAAAAACAAACAGTTAAGCTACACTAGAGCAAGGGAATGTGTTACATCACTTTTTAAGACCATCGCTCCAAACTTAAATATTGGTCTTCATTCTTTAAGAGCAGGGGGCGCTTCAGTAGCAGCAAACAATAATGTTAATGATCGGTGTTTAAAAAGACATGGTAGGTGGAAGTCCGATTTTTCAAAAGATATTTATGTAGCAGATTCATTAGAAAAACGGCTAGCTATTTCTCAAAGTTTAAAAATCTAATATGTTGTTTATATTTGATGTGATTTGCGAATATTTTTGTTTTTGTTCCTATTTCTAACTTTGAATGGTTTCTAGCTATTGTGCAGCGCTACCAGGCGAAATATATGTTTGTGTTACGTTATTTGTAGTAAAGGGGAGACTTTTTACTTTACCGCGTTACGTAGTATAGCGGTAAAGTTATGTCTGCACGTTACGATTGAATAAGTCACATGACCAATGTTTGATTGTTTTGTTACAAACTGACCAATCGAAATGAATGGTATGATAACATTGGGATAGGTAGAGTTTACAGGTATCAGTTTCTAGCGTGCACCACTGCTAATAAACACGTGCTTTAAAATTTCAAGTTCATAGATTTAAAAATAAATAAATAAATAGTGGTTATTAAATGCAAACTTTGGTGAAATGTTGTTATAAGGATATGTTTTAGTTGAACGTTTATTAGACCATTCATGTTATATTATTTAATATTTCGTGTGAAGTCCACACACGCCGCTGAGGAAGGCACTGAACTTGTTAAATTGGACACAGGTTTTATCAGAGTAACATTCTCTGTTTGTTTTCCTGGACGTCGTGTTTTCCGATGACGCGGATGTTTATTATTGAGAGATCTTTTAACATACTGTAAATGTCACTGCATTATAATATGTATACATATAATGTCACAAATATTGATACAATTGTATGTTTTTGGTGTAATAAACGGTCTCTCGTAGCTATTGTGCAGCGCTACCAGGCGAAATATATGTTTGTGTTACGTTATTTGTAGTAAAGGGGAGACTACTATTTTCTTGACTTTTTAATTCGTTCTAAGTATTGTACATTGTATTCAGTAAACCTAAGACAACATCATCAAGAACATAATGTTAATCTAATTACATGTTATATATTAGATATATCAGTAGAGCAATAACATGGTTTTCTGTCGCACTCTCAATTCTTTATTTCGGTTTCTGCACAACAAAATAAAGTTTTGTGTTGCTTATTGTGGAAAAATGGAAATATTCCTTTGAAAGACATTGTTTAAACATCTAGTTTTCTAGTTATTGTTCCGTGGTAAGCTTCTTTTTCACTCGACATACATCCTTTTAAGTAGAAGAAAGAACATTTACTAGATTGATGTATGTCGCAGCAGAGAACAACAATTGCATGTGCAGACAGGGTACCGTTTTAATAGATTTCGCAGAAAGGGTACCGATATGAATATGCACATTATATTACTATAATTACACTCTAAGTAATAGAAAGAGCATCGAAACACAAGGCTATTTGATTTGTAGGAGGGGTGCACCATAGACAAAAATAAAAACACGTTCCCTTTTGTCGCAATACAAAACCCCTGAAATAAGAATACGATATTTCTATCGCTATTCCTTTCTCTGTCATCACAATAAGTTAACCTCAAAAAAAATTAGCCAATCGATGGGTTACTAATACCTGCACTCAAGTTAAAGCACTGTGCATGTACACCGTTTATAACCAGTAACGCAGGAATGTGCAAATATCGCAGGAATTGTGATAAAGTTACGCAGAATTGTGCAATTTAGTTACTAAAATAGAGAAAATAAGAATCAATAAAGAAAGTCCAACACGACAAACGAGCACCGCGATAAGTAAATGAACTAATATTTTTATTGTACACCAAATTGGAAGAAATGAGTCAGCATATACGGTTGCTGAGACATTATACTTTAAACCTCATCATCATTTTATAAACAGGTCATATTTTCAAAACAATGTGTGAAATTTCAAATATGTTAAGTTACAAATATTATGTGTTTTAATAACAGATGTCAAATAGTACTTTTGTAACTGGCAGATTAAGTGTGGCTTTCCCTCTTTATCCAATAAAAGTTTTATTTTATTAAGGTGATAATGTCAATCAAGCCGTCTGTACTTATTAAAGTGTTAAATTTTATGACTGATAAAATGTCCAGGTGATGATTGCTGTTATAAGCACGTTCCCTTTTGTCGCAATACAAAACCCCTGAAACAAGAATACGATATTTCTATCTCTATTCCTTTCTCTGTCATCACAATAAGTTAACCTCAGAAAAAAATTAGCCAATTGATGGGTAACTAATACCTGCACTTAAGATAAAGCACTGTGCATGTACACCGTTTATAACCAGTAACGCAGGAATGTGCAAAGTAATGTAAATGAACTTATATTTTTTATTGTACACCAAATTGAAAGAAATGAGTCAGCACATACGGTTGATGAGACATTATACTTTAAACCTTGTCAACAATATTTCCGTGAAAATGTTTACTTTTCCAGATTATTCATGAAATTGTCGACCTGACTAGCGTATTGATGGCGATTTTTAGTTTCGTTGATATCTTTAAATATAAAAACGTACATATTACTATATGTTTTTTTATATTCGGTGTACATGAGATATTTTCTACTCGTGTCATATTACACGTAATTAACAGATAAAAGATAATTGAGACCATTTTGACGAGGTATTGCCGAACTTGTGAATGAAACTCTGAAGCAGCGGCGGTTATCTCATTAAAAGTAGCCAAATCTTATTTTACCAACTTCCTTCTATTGTTATACGTCACTTGTAGTTTGACAAATGCCTTAGGTATACAGAATATAAAAAATAAAGTTTTAAATATATGTTAAATGTATATATTTATTTGACGAAACACAAAAGTCACCTTCAAAACGCTAATCAGGTTGCCTTTCTCACGAATGATCTAAGAAAGTAAATATATTTCTGAAACAAATTGTAATGCTGGTTAAAGTATAATGTCGTAGCAGCCGTATGCGTTAATTCATTTCTTTAAGTTTGATTTAGAATGAAATTTTTTGGTTCGTTTACTGTCTGTGTTATTCGTTTTGGCAATAGCGTTGCACAGATTCACCGTTACTTTTACGTTAATTGCACATTCCTGCGTTACTGGATATGCACGGTGATGTATATGTATACGATTTAACTCCGACATATTTTCAACAGAAAGGTCCCTGCAATATGATTCAATGAATATCTAAACTTATTTGGTCAAAGATGTACAAACGTAAAGTCACATCATATTATTGATACGTACCCTTTTCTGCTGCAATCCGTGTGTTTGTAGCGTTAATCAGATCAGACAGCGTGTCTTGCTGTTCTTCTGCAATAAATGTAATAAATAAAAGTCGTGAATAACAAAATATCTGTAAAAACTATTATCAATATCTGATTTTCCTCAGTGGTACAAAATACACTTGCTGTTAAAAAGGTGTTGAATAAACTTTTTTTTATAACAAAACGTTCATTGCTTTGCATATACGGTGTTTGATTTTAACTATATTTTTAATTATATTTCCTATTTAAGTTATTAAGAAGGTGTATTTTGAGTCCCATTAACCAAATTTCCTTCATAAGCATCGCATGTTTCAGACACACCAGAACCCACGACGGAAAGAATATCTCGACGATAAAAATGCTTAGATATAAAAGGAAAGTCAGGAGGGTCAAATCACATTTTTGTTTTCTTCAAAAAAAGCTTATAAACGTATCTTTAAAAACGTTGAAAACTTACACTTTGATTTTCTCTTTCACATATGGTGTTGGATCAGCGCAAATTCACATATATATTTTTACTGATGCTCAATTATGAGATCCATATGGGGTTCACCACCCCAACACCGCCCCTTCGTTAGGACGCTACATTATTGTATATTGAAGCTTAGTCTTATTTATTCTTCTCAAAAAAAATGGATAGATAAAACTATAAAATATTTTATTGCTAAAGTGTTTTCTTGATAAATTTTATCTTTTGCATTTTATGAAGTTCAGAACACATAAAAATATTTTATTTTCTTAACTGTTTGAAACATTGAAGTCTATCTTATGTACCATGCTTGTTTAATCTAAATACAAATGTACCTTGCTTTGACGATATTATACGGAGTTGACTCTGCAGGTCCGCGTCGATGGAAGATATACGCTGACTCACTTTTGCCTCCGAATCATTGAGTTTACTTTCAAAATCTACGTTCATTTCTTCCTTTAAATTTATCAATGTGAATCGGTTTTCAATATCCGACTGAAACTTTTTAATTTTGTTTTCAAACTTTTTTAATGTATTTCTTAAATGCGTTTTTTCATTAATGAGCATTTTGCGGACTACTGCTGATTGCATCTCAAAATCACTTTGAAACATTGCGTCAGAAGCATTTGTAATAGTTTTGACGTTCCCATTTGTAAGAGACTTCGATCTTTCTCCCACAAATCTGTCCACTTTGTTTGCTATCAATGAAACATTGGAACCAATTTGTTCAATCTTCTTCTCTATTCCTTCAACAAGAGATTTAGTTTCTGCCAGCTCGGTTTTCAGATTCGTGGTTTCATAAACTAGCAATTCATAAACTGTTTTTGGGCTTAGCTCTAGCTCTGCCTCACTTGTCGGACAAAAGCACAATAAATGAAATATTATTTTTAATCCAACGCGAGACATTGCTTTATTGCCGATAGCGAATAACGTGTTGTGAGCAAATGTTTTTATAAGACTGAAGTTAACTTGTCTAGAATTACGTTACATATCATTATATATATTAAACATAACGGCTTTTGTTTCAAACGTATGGTGTAATGGAAGGGACACTTATATCTGCTAATATTTGGATGAATTAATCATATTTTCTCAAACTTGTTATTTGTATCATTTGTGTTACACACCCGTAATGTTACAGACAAAATATTGAATCTTGCAGACCAGATATGTCGATGTCCGCAGCAGCTTTGAAAAGATTTCATTGAAGTTCTAGTATATCATAAACTACATTTGTCATATAATATAATGATGGATAAATTACGATCTTTTAATTTCAGTTAAAAATAAATATGTCATGTAAGAATGTTTAAACAATATCAGGACAGATTTTATACCATTTGTCCAAAAACTATTCGTATATGTATTTTGTACCAAAGCTTTAGTATGAAGAAGACGATGGTCTATTGGTTAATAAGTCTGTCTCTCAACCCATGGATAGTGCATCGAGCCTTAATTGGGTTACGACCATGTTTCTTAATTTGACATCAGTTCAAGCTATTTCCAGGAAGAGACCTCAACAATGGTTCACCCTTTAAATATTCATCACATTCGAGTCGAAATAGATATATGCATGAAACAAAATGAAAATGTCAGTGATATACTATGTATTAAGTTACATTGCATTTCATACAGACTGTTAATATTTTTTATTGCTGCTTTTGTTAAGCAGTGAGTTGTTCACTTTCCCCTGTATTTGCTTCCGTAGAAAATATGGTATCAAATATAATAAGAAGGAATGTCCGAGGAAAGAATTGTTTGTTTTTCTTTCAATTTATCCGTCACGCCATCATCACATGTCATATGTTTCAAGTGTTGTGACTTTATCCAGCTATTTTGAGAATCATTAGAAAGAGACTAAGATATACTCATAATGTTGAAACTAACACGAATATTATATAATACTACATTTATCTATTCTCGAACATAACATAGACAAAACTAGAAATGTGTCCATAGGACACGGATGCCCCCACACGCTACTGTTCTGTCAATCTTATGACTCTAGGTCAAATATTTTTGGACTACATGTGCCACAAGTTGAAAACTAAAAATCAACAAAGGGCCATAATTCTGTTAAATTTGATCACAGCAAAAATTCCTTCCTCTACTACCATCTACAAATTAAGGTTGTTCATCCCTGTAAGTTTAAGCAAAATCTGCCATCCGGTTTAAGAGGAGTTGCGTTCACAAAATTTCTACAAAGTATATAGTGAAAAAATCAACAAAGGGCCATAATTCTGTTAAATTTGGTCGCAGCAAAAATTCCTTCCTTTACTACCATCTACACATTAAGGTTGTTCATCCCTGTAAGTTTAAGCAAAATCTGCCATCCGGTTTAAGAGGAGTTGCGTTCACAAAATTTCTACATAGTATATAGTGAAAAAATCAACAAAGGGCCATAATTCTGTTAAATTTGGTCGCAGCAAAAATTCCTTCCTTTACTACCATCTACACCTTAAGGTTGTTGATCCCTGTAAGTTTAAGCAAAATCTGCCATCCGGTTTAAGAGGAGTTGCGTTCACAAGATTTCGGGACGTACGGACGGACGGACTGACGGACGGACGGACAAGTGCAACGCTATATGCTCCCACATTGTTGGGGCATAAAAATCATTTCAATGTAATGTCAAGTGCCACTACTTGAACAACGCCTTTAATTAAGTAGTGCGTCTGTCTTTTTAACAATGTCTTCCACTTCATACACAAGGACCGATAATTGTTCAAGTCGACAGCAAGCTTACAAAATATGTCGTGAAAATCAAGGTCATCTGTGTAACACACTTTTTAGTAAACAAAATATCACAATCTTAATTCTATTTAGGTTAGTTTTGATATATTCGGCAAGTAGTTCAATATCACGATGTTAAGATGGAACACAGTCTAATTTATCCACCATAACATCATTTCGTCAGTGAACTGCAGTGTAGTTTAAAAGAGCTGACAACTTAGTCTGGAATCTAATTTTTGTTAAGTAACAACTCCTTTAATCAATTAAGGTTATTTATTAATATAATGTTATTGATTATTTTGCCTAAGCTGCACATCTTATAGTGCCCTCTCTGTCCCACATGTACTTGCGCTAGTTCGATTTCTCTATGGGTGCTCTGTCGGATGCTGCCTCATTACTGTGTACATAAAACTTTATGCTATCACAATTTCAAGTATCCGGTCATTTATTTTATATCGCATCTGTTTCTGTATAATTCTGTTATTTTTAATGCTAGCTTTTGAGCACTTTAAAATATTCACAAATGTTAATAGACATGAAAAGGAGAAATGAAAGGTAAAGAGAATGGTAACCTGCCGTCCAGAACAGTCAATCAGGGTTGTCTGGCCAGGCTCTGAAACACAATTTTCGTTATTATACAGATATGTTAAAACACAAGTTTGAAACAGATCAGATCATAGAGGTTAAATGGCTAAGTATAGCACAAATTTCAAATTAAGGTGGCAATTTCACCACATCGACATAATGAAAGAAACTGTTTTGGAGTTAACGCAAATTTGGAAATTGTAAAACAAATGAGCATCATCACTAGAACCTTTTGTTACTTAAAACCTCAGAAACAAATATATACTAATCGATTTCTACTTCCATACATTAAAATGATCCCATACTTACAATCATGCAGAACAGGGTTTGTAGAGAAATTGATTAAGAAGATTTTTTTTCATTTATTATCAAAACAAAATTAAGTACATCTGAAAGAAGACATGTCTCAACAAGGATAAGATCTGGTTAGTATATGTCTGACACTTTTCCCACGTGATTATAATGTATCTGATGATAGACAATATTACAATATTCAAGATAAAGCTGTCGCTGGATAAATATCTGTTTTATATCTTAAAATGCCAAATGTGTTCAAGCTTCAGTATTGGTTTGGTTGTTTCCTTTATTCCTTTTCAGTAACATATTCGTTCATTTTCAGTGCCTTATTCGTTCCTTTCAGTGCTTTATTCATTCTACATTGCATTAATTGTTCTTTTTATAGATTTGTTCGCTCATTTTCAGTACTTAATTTGTTCTTTTTTCATGTTTTTTGTAGTATGTTTTTTTTCTCTTTCAGTGCTTTAATGTATATTAACAGTGCTTTATAACAGTCGAAACTAGTAAAGATTAAAGAAATATGTGTTGTTTTGTTATATTTTAACTGCAGTGCTTTATAAGTGATTTTCAGAGATTTACTCGTTATCTCTTTTCTTCTTTTTTTTGTCCTTTATTCGTTTTAATATCATAAATATTGTGTTCATTCTTTTCCAGTGAATTACCCGCTCCTTTTTAGTGAATTAGTTTAATTCTTTTAATGTCTTATTAATTTTGATCTTTTGCGTCTTTTTTCGTTATTTCAATTGCTTTATTCGTCATTTCAGCCTTTTTGATTGTTAATTGTCAATATTTTATAAGTTTATTTCTAACGTTTTAGCCATTTATTTTCAATGCTTAATTTGGTAATTTTTTAATGTTTTAATCATTTATTTTCAGTGCCTGTCTCGTTAGTTCTTATATTTGCTTCATCTTTTTTTTTTAAATATTACAAAATGTTTCGTGTCTATGTAATCATATTAAAGTTGAAATCATCCGCTAAAGTTCGTTGACTGGTCGAGACAATCTCAAAAATGCTATTTTCATTAATGAATAAATAAAGTATTAAATTCCTCACATTTACCATTGTTATTAGTGTAATATCTACATTAAACTGTCGAGAAAAACTCTCATAAATAAGCACTTTATGATAAAAGTGTCAACAATTTCTGTGAAAGTAACTCTTATGTATCTTAAGTATTTCCCATGTGACATTGTATTGTTAAAAGATTTTGGTCTACTGTAAAAATAGGTCTTTGTAGTCAGACAAACTAGATACTAGAAATAACTTTCCCAAATATGCCTAAAGAATCACCGTATTCAGGGTTTATGTGAAATAACAATCTAACCTGAAAACAAAATGATATCATTATCTCTCTTAAAGCATATTTTATTTACATACAATGGGAAAA